TAATATTTAGGAGATAAAATATGATTAAAATCAAAATTATTATTTAAAATAATATTTAGGAGTTAAAAATTTGATAAAGATCGAAAATAATATTTAGGAGACAATAATCTGGTAAAAAACAAAATTAATATTTAGGAGATAAAAAACTAATAAAAACATGATAAAACTCGAAAAACATATTTAAAATATTATTTAGGAGATATAAATATGATAAAATTCGAAAATAATATTTAGGAGATAAAAATCTGCTAAAAGTTGATAATTATATTTAAAATTATAGTTAGGAGATATAAATTTGATAAAATTAAAAAATATTATTTATAATAATATTTAGGAGATAAAAATTTGATAAAAATAAAAAATAATATTTAGGAGACAAAAATATGATAAAAATAAAAAATAATATTTAAAATAATATTTAGGGGATACAAATATGATAAAATTCGAAAATAATATTTAAAATAATATTAAGGAGATAAAAATTTGATAAAAATTGAAAAAAAATTACAATTATGACATTAGGGTTTCTTAGGGTTGCGCTAGCGTTTCTTTCTTTTATATATAAGATATCTATCAGCTCACTCAATTTTTATTAACTAGTCCACCCAATATCTAAATTTATTAACTAGTCCACCCAATATCTAAATTGATATAAAAAAAGCCTCAATTTTTATTAATTAACTCACCCAAAATTCCTTAAAAAAAAACCCATTTTTTTCCTATTTTCTGATGTCGTCACAAAATAATTCTAAAAAAAATTTCAGGAGCGCTGCTCCCGAAGCCCCGAAAATTTTAAGCTCACTTTGTAACAAAATCCTGGATTCGCCACTGCCTACGTTCATGAATTCACAACAAAATCCTGGACTCACCACTGCCTACGTTCATGAATTCACAAAATCCTTGACTCGCCACTGCCTACGTTCATGAATTCACTCGAAGGTCTATGACTAGAAAAAAAACAACATTCTAAAGGAGGATACACAATATTTTGGCCTACGTTCATGAATTCACCCGAAGGTCTATGAAGGAGGATACACAAATTTTTGGCAGAAAACATTAAGTCTATACCATCAAATTGTATATATATATATAGTCATGTTGTCATTGAGGCATGGATATTGGTCTTACAATAATTAATTTCTGCTGAAGAATCAATCAAGGAAAAAACATTTCCATCAACTCCAACAAATTTAGAACCTTGGTTGACGTATAGTTATAATTGGTAAATTTAATTAATATTAGCTGAAATTTAAGATATTTAACTCCACATGACTAAAAAATTAAACATTTTGCCCTGCTCAAGATCGAAGATTGACAGGGTTTCAAGTCCAATAAACAACTGTATTGCTGGCATTAAACGGGCAGTATTGGTCAAATGAGAACTACTTCAAATGTAAAGCAAATGAAAACTAATTGAACAATTATAACCAAAATGCAAGCTCAAACATTTAATTTCTCAATTATGAAGACGGGGAATTCAATTATCCAATACAAATTGTTTTCCATCTCAACAAAATTTTGAAATCAACTACTTGGCTAAACCTTCTGCTATCCCCTGCAAAAAGAAGAACCGAAAAATCAGCTGAAAATTATACAAAGACAGATTAACAAAAGCCCATTAAAACAATGCAATTAAGAGATCTAACGAGAACCCTTATAAAGAAAAGTTAAGATCAGGCTGTGGCAAGTAAAAGTTTCTCGTGTAGTAGCAAAATCGATGTTGATCAACTTGTCAAGTTTCATCAGTGGAAAGTGTATATAAATTCACGTTATACAAACTTCCTTAACCAAAAAAAGCAAAAAAGGTCTAAATGTTGATGAGTTCTCGTCATGAAGTGTTCCTAAAGAAAGTCTTATATACAGAGTATATCAACTCGTAAAGGAAGTGTACAATAGCTAAACTGATATAGTTAGAAACTTAATGCTAATAGTTTAAACATATACATTTTCTAATGGAACAACTAGAGCATGCATCATGCACAAACAACTAAAACTCGAAAATTATGGCACAATTCAACCCTCTGATAGCGATTTCTTAAAGAGAACTTCTACTTAATCTCAAACCAGATACTAAAAAAAGAATGGAATGGTGGTAAAGTACTTTCAATACTAAGCTAATTCAATACTAGAAGGGTAAATTACAAACATCCCCTAAGGTATGGTCAATTTACACAAAAAAAAAAATCCCTCTTGTTTGGATAATTACATCTACCCCTCAACTATGATTTTTTCTTACACATCCACCCTTATGGTGTCAAATTTAACATAATCATCTAGATTTCGTGGAATGTTCTCTAGTTTGTACTCATTTTGTGTAAAAATACAATTTCCGGTGCACCACAATCTAATATATACAAGCCAAAAAACACATATTATGATCATCTTGCTTCAAAATGTAGAGTTCGACTGGGATAAAACGGATACAAAAGTGATAATATTCCATATAATCTCGAAGATTCCACTTAATTTGAGGAGTTGAGGGGGGGTGGTTGTAATTTACCCATACTAGAAATGTAAGATACAAAACGGCAACACATGGTCGAAACTAAGCTAATTCAATACTTATATCTTAGAATTTGTTCTCGGAATGCATATAATTTAGCGAAAGTGAAACAAAATCAAATCAAATAATCGATTTCACAATTGAGATAGTCTGGAGTTTAAGAAAAGAGTATTTATTAACCTCAAATATAATATTGCTAGGGGTACATGAAGACCCTAACCCTAGCACCCATTGATTTAGGGGGAAGATTAGATTTGAATTTGGCGCGAACAACGCCGTTGTTACCGTGAGGGCGAGCAACTTTGCCCCAAATGCACGCCATTTTCTTACCAAGGTACCACCCAACCTCCTCCTGTGTGTTCACTCCTTCTATGTGTATCAACGACGTGTTTGGATACAGGTTCGACTTCGACCGACACTCACAATTCTTTTTCACTCCATCAACCAAACACGACTTTAAATCAAAATCAAAATGAGGACTGTTCTGTTACGTGCAAGAAAACGAGACAAGAATTAGGAAAGAAGAAGAAGAAGTTCAGCCATGCAGCCGCAGCCATGCATTAGGATGGTGTTGTTAAATGCAGAGTCATAATTACTTTGTCGTCGAACTATAATGCATTTCGTAATAGCGTTTCTTTTAGTATTAGTAGTAGCGTTTTTTCTATTTTCTTATGTTAACAACAGCGAATGGGAGATCGACACGTCACAGCCTAGGAGCTACCTCCAGCTCGCCAGTCAGCCACTGAAAGTCGTGATTCTCATTTTGCGTTTTCTATTTTATTCAGCACTTTCTATTATTAGGGTTATATAAATAGTAAGAACGGATATGGAGAAGGCAGCTGATCTTTGTGTGTCTATCTTCGTCTTCTCCGTGAGTTTGAGTGTTTGTGAACTTAACCTTCGAAGCTTTTTCTGTGTCAAGGCTTCCCGGGTGGTTCTTGTATCCGTTGAACTTCATAATTCTAATACTACTGTTTCGTACGTGTTCTTATTACTGTTATTATTTCTACTATTGTTTTTTGGACGTTGCAAGTGGTATCAGAGCCGTCGATCCTCGGCGGTTCGGAACCTAGAAGAAAAAGGGTGTCATGGCTGAAGGAACTAGATATGCAGGCTGCGCAAGGAGATGGATCAGCTGAAGGACCAGATCCACTCCCTGGCAGAGAACAGTGGCAAAAGTAGAATGGAAAGCAGTAGAAATATGCAAGAAATGCGAGCTGGAATGGCAGTGATGTTAGCCAAACTTACCGGAGCTCCAGATCCACCAGTGGGGATGCCACGAGATCCAGATCTGGAGGGAGGGAGAAACAAAGGATAGAATCAAGGGGTCATGACTATCAAATGCCTACGAAATGCTCATCTGTGGAGTTCCCCAGGTTCGATGGTACAGATCTAAAGGGATGGGTGTATCGGTGTGAGCAGTTCTTTGACGTGGATGAAACTCCGATGGGGTCTAAGGTGAAACTGGCGTCCATGCATTTAGATGGGAGGGAATTACAATGGCATCAAACGTATATGAAGGCTAGGTTAACCAGGGAAATCCCTTACTGGGAGGAGTACATTCAAGCCCTCAACAGCAAATTTGGAACACTATTTGAAGATCCTATGTCAGAGCTTATGAACTTGAAGCAGGTTGGGCCCTTGCAGGATTTCTTGGACCAATTTGATGTACTAATGAATAGTGTGAACATATCAGAATCGCAAGCAGTCAGCTGCTTCTTAGGGGGAGTTAAACCGGAGATTGCGATCCCCATCCGTATGTTCAAACCTAAAACCATGATGGAAGTGGTGAGCTTAGCTAAGTTACAAGAACAGTCTATGGAGCTAGCCTCTCCCCGGAAATCCACCTTTCAACCAACCATTAGAGCTAATTACACACAACACAGACCCAACCCTTTACCCCTCAACCGAAACCACACTCACACATCTCATTCTCAGCCACACAAACCCTATCATTACCCTCAGTCTTCACCCTCTATACTACCTAAACCCCAAAATTACCCTACCAGAAACCCCTCTATGAGTCCAAACCGAAGAATACCTAACCAAGACCTTGATGAGCGAAGAGCTAAGGGTTTATGCTTTTGGTGTGATGAAAAGTATTCCAGGGATCACAACTGCCCAAAGAGAAGACAGATGTATGTAATGGAAATTGGAGATGATGAGATGAGTCCTGAGAGTGAACTGGAGTCTCCTTCTACACTGACTTCTGAAGAGAAGCAAGACTGGGATGGATATGAACCTATTTCTCATGTATCTGTGCATGCAATAATTGGAGCACATGACTACAAACCCATGAGGTTGAAGGGCTCCGCTAGAGGAAAGAGCATTAGAATACTGATTGACAATGGTGCTACTCATAATTTCATAGATATTGAGACAACCAAGGCACTAGGGTGTAAATTGGTAGAATCTAAGCCATTTTCAGTTACAGTAGCAGGAGGAAACAGACTGAGGAGTCAATACAAGTACACTGCATTTGTATGGAAGATGCATGGTGTGGAGTTTACAGCAGAGGTGATGACCTTACCCTTAGGCACTTGTGACTTGGTGCTGGGGATACAGTGGTTAGTGACCTTGGGGGACATCATCAGCAACTACCAAGAACTCAGAATGGAGTTTAACTATGGAGGCAAGAGAGTGATGCTTAGAGGTCTCCATCAAAATAATGTTAAGGTTGTTTCCAACAAGAAACTTAACAAAATCTTGCAGAACCCCTCTCAGATTACTTATCAATGCATTGGCACAATGCAAGAATGTGAGAAGTATGGGACATGTGAAGATGAAGCTCTCCACATTGAAGCAAGCTTTCAGTCATTGGAAGTCTGTCCAGACCAAACCTTGCACAATTTACTCACTGAATATGGGAGCTTATTCAAGGAACCTAAATCTTTACCTCCCAATAGATCACATGACCATCAAATTCACCTCAAAGGGGGCACTGAGGCAGTGAATGTGAGGCCTTATAGGTACCCTACTGTTCAGAAAACTGAGATTGAAAAGATTGTGGAGGAGCTACTGCAGTCAGGGGTAATCAGACCTAGTTCCAGTCCCTTCTCTTCTCCTGTGGTGTTAGTAAAAAAGAAGGATCATACCTGGAGAATGTGTGTGGATTACAGAGAGTTGAATAAGCATACTATCAAAGACAAGTTTCCTATTCCAGTGATTGAGGAGCTACTGGATGAACTACATGGAGCCAGTGTTTTTTCTAAGTTGGATCTGAGGTCTGGATATCATCAAATTAGAATGCAAAAGGAAGATGTGATGAAGACTGCCTTTAGAACACATCATGGCCATTTTGAGTTCCTAGTAATGCCATTTGGCTTAACTAATGCACCATCAACCTTTCAAAGCCTAATGAACACTGTGTTTCAGCAGCAATTAAGGAAGTTCATATTAGTGTTTTTTGATGACATTTTAGTCTACAGTAAGGACTGGAGCTCTCATTTGAAACAACTGAGAGAGACCTTGGAAATTTTGCACAAAAATCAACTATTCCTGAAGAAGAGTAAATGTTCATTTGGCACTACTTCCATTGAGTATTTGGGACATATCATAACCCCTATTGGAGTAGCAGCAGATCCAGCCAAAACACAAGCTATGGTGGAGTTGCCAGTGCCCAAAACTCTGAAGGAATTAAGGGGCTTCCTTGGTCTGACAGGGTACTACAGGAGGTTTGTGAGGAATTATGGAAACATAGCACAACCACTGACTAATCTTCTGAGAAAAGACAACTACAGATGGAATGAAGCAGCTCAGTTGGCTTTTCAAGAGTTGAAGCAAGCTATGACCCATACTCCAGTACTAGCACTACCAGATTTTTCTAAAGAGTTTGTGGTGGAGACTGATGCTTCTGGAAGTGGTTTGGGAGCTGTACTTATGCAACAAGGAAGACCTATCTCATTCATGAGTAAGGCTCTAACTCTTCAACAAGGTGGGCTGTCTACTTATGAAAAAAAGCTCTTGGCATTAGTAACTGCTATCCAAAAGTTGATGCCCTATCTGATAGGCAGTCATTTTGTGGTCAAAACTGACCATCAGAGCCTGAAATACCTCATGGACCAACGAGTTTCCACCCCAGCCCAACAAAAGTGGTTAGTAAAGTTAATGGGGTATGATTTCACAATCATATATAAAAAGGGAAAGGAAAATGTGGTGGTTGATGGCCTATCTAGAGTGAAAAACAACCCTACCTTGCTCACCTTAACCTTACATCACTGCCCATTTATAGAAGAGATTAAGGCTGTTTATGGAGAGGATCCCACCCTAGACAAGTTAATCACTGCTATACAGAATGGAACCAACAAGAAATCTTCTTACACTTGGAATAACAATCTACTCTTCAGAAAAGGGAAGCTCATGGTGGGAAACCAAGAGAGTTTAAAACAACTCATTCTTCACCACTACCATGCTTCCTCAGTTGGGGGGCATTCTGGCATTCATAGCACCTTGCACAGGCTCAGGCAAATCTTGTATTGGAAGGGTCTCAAATCTGATGTGTATAAGTTCATTCAACAATGTGATGTGTGTCAAAGAAATAAAGGAGAGACAGTGGCCTCCCTAGGGCTGTTACAACCTTTGCCTATCCCCAACAGAATCTGGGAGGAAATTTCCATGGATTTCATCAGTGGATTGCCCATTTCAGGTGGGAAGGACTCTATTATGGTCGTGGTAGATCTCTTAAGTAAGGGAGCCCATTTCATAGCCCTCAAACATCCCTACACAGCCAGCTTAGTGCCCCAAGCCTTCATGGATCATGTCTACAAATTACATGGAATGCCTAAGGTGGTTGTCAGTGATAGAGACCCTATCTTTATGAGCAGTTTTTGGCAAGAGTTTTTTGAAAAACAAGGATCTCAGCTACACACTTCCACAGCCTACCACCCTCTGACAGATGGTCAGGCAGAAGTGGTGAACAAGTGCCTAGAAACTTACCTTAGATGCATGACTGGAGATAGACCGAAGGAATGGATCAATTGGCTATCCTTGGCTGAATGGTGGTATAATACCACCTACCATTCAGCTATCCATACCACTCCCTATGAAGTCATGTTTGGACAGAAACCCCCTCTACACCTACCTTACCTACCCATGGAGTCACTCAATGACATGGTAGATAGAAGCTTGCAGAACAGAGAATCTACCCTACGCATCATTAAGGATCACTTACAGAAGGCACAAAATCGAATGAAGGTACAAGCAGATAAGAACCGGAGTGAGAGATCTTTTATAGTGGGAGATTGGGTTTTTGTGAAGTTACAACCATATAGGCAACAGTCAGTAAGGGGTCACACGTATCATAAGCTGTCCGCAAGGTATTTTAGTCCTTATAAAGTGATTCGTAAGGTTGGAGAGGTAGCATACACACTGGAATTGCCCGAAGGCTCTAAGATTCATCCTACATTTCATGTCTCGCAATTGAAGAAGAAAACAGGCACACATATCAGTCAAAAACATCTCCCCACTTCAATCACTGCACACGGGCACATTTTACTTGAACCCCAGTTTGTTCTTGATCGCAGGATGGTTAAGCGCAACAACCGAGCAGCTACGCAGCTCTTGATCAAATGGTTCAACATGGCCAAAGAGGATTCCACTTGGGAAGATTATGAAGACTTTCAGCGGCGTTATCCGACGTTTTGTCCTTGAGGACAAGGACAGTTTGAGAAGAGGGAATTGTTACGTGCAAGAAAACGAGACAAGAATTAGGAAAGAAGAAGAAGAAGTTCAGCCATGCAGCCGCAGCCATGCATTAGGGTGGTGTTGTTAAATGCAGAGTCATAATTACTTTGTCGTCGAACTATAACGCATTTCGTAATAGCGTTTCTTTTAGTATTAGTAGTAGCGTTTTTTCTATTTTCTTATGTTAACAACAGCGAATGGGAGATCGACACGTCACAGCCTAGGAGCTACTTTCAGCTCGCCAGTCAACCACTTAAAGTCGTGATTCTCATTTTGCGTTTTCTATTTTATTCAGCACTTTCTATTATTAGGGTTATATAAATAGTAAGAACGGATATGGAGAAGGCAGCTGATCTTTGTGTCTCTATCTTCGTCTTCTCCGTGAGTTTGAGTGTTTGTGAACTTAACCTTCGAAGCTTTTTTTGTGTCAAGGCTTCCCGGGTGGTTCTTGTATCCGTTGAACTTCATAATTCTAATACTACTGTTTCGTACGTGTTCTTATTACTGTTATTATTTCTATTATTGTTTTTTGGACATTGCATGTTCCCCGGACATATAGTCGGACTCTCTCACCCTGCCGCCCTTTCACCATCACCGCCGATGCATCAAAGCTTTGCTATCTGAGACTGAGGGGGAACCCTAAGATTTATTTTTAACTCTTTTACATTGGACTGTGGGGCCCACTTTACATTCAAATTAAATAAATCATGGAGTTTACATATTTTCTAAACAATATTGAAAAATATTAATTTTTTTATAAATGAATTGTTAACCATTTGTAGAAGAGTGGTTATATATGTTGGCGCAATTTTGGCGTACACATATTTTTTTACCATAATTTTTTATCTTTTTACTTTAAATTTTTACCATTTTACATTTCTTTTACCAAATCCTATAATCTTTTAAAAACAGAATTTGAACATTCAATTAAAAAAATTTAGATATTCAACAACTTTTAGAATGGACCCAACGAATATAGACCCGAGGTAATGTTTTCGTTTTTGCTCGAATCTTCAAGTACTCGTGTGATATTACTCGAGCACATGCCATGTACTCGCGTAATATCACACGAGTACTTGAATTTTTTTTTCTTGTGGTCGTGTGATTTTGCACGACCACATGTCATGTGTTTGCGCAAAATCACACGAGGAGATGAGTATTTCTTTTTGTTCGGTTATTTTACGCGAGCACCTTCTCTGTGGTCGTGTGAATATACGCGAGACCTGAGTCGGTGCCCGTGTAAAATCACGTGACCATTTTTTTTTTAATAAATAATATATATTTTGCTTACTTTATTTATTTGAAAACATGAAGTATGCATAAATATTGAGGAAGATATGGAAACATCCGAGCTACATGATTTCAGTCAATTTTTCATAATTTCTACGCTGATCGACTAGCTTTGTGCACGGCGTTAAGTACTAGACATAGGTAGATTTTACGTATTCTTTTATGTTTTTGTATGTTGAACTTTGTTATTGTATTTGGATGTTGAACTTATCTATGATATTTGGATGTTGAACTTTGTTATTTGGTTTTAAATTTAAATTTTGTAACATTAAAAAAAGAAAAAAAGAAATAATATATATGTATACTCTCGTGGTTTCACACGAACAAGGACAGTTTGATCGCGTGATATCACGCGAGCACACTGTCTCTGTTCGTGTGAAATCACGCGAGTAACGTAATTAAAAATAAAATAAAAAATCTTTACTCGCGTGATTTCACGCGAACAGGGAAGTTTTGGTCCCGTGATATCACGCGAGCAAAACATTCCTGTTCGTGTGAAATCACGCAAGTAAGGATAAAAAAAAAAAATTATAATGATAATAATAATAATAATAATAATAATAATAATAATAATAATAATAATAATAATAATAATAATAATAATAATAATAATAATAATAATAATAATAATAATAATAATAATAATAATAATAATAATAATAATAATAATAATAATAATAATAATAATAATAATAATAATAATAATAATAATAATAGTAATAATAATAATAATAACAAATCAACTCGTACAAAAATAAATAAATAATAAATAAAAAATATATACTCGCGTAGTTTTACGCGAACAAAGAGCTTTTGCTCCCGTAGAATTACATGAGTACGTGTTCTCTGTTCGTGTAAAACTACACGAGTACAATTATTATTATTTTTTTTATGGTTTTAACATATGTTATATATAAAAGAAAGAAACGTTAGGGCAACCCTAAGAAACTCTAATGACATCTTATATATAAAAGAAACAAACGTTAGGGCAACCCTAAGAAACCCTAATGACATTTATGTAATTATTTATCTTTAATTTTTTTTTACTAATTTCCTAGTTAAATTTTTCAACAACTATCAAAATTGACACTGAAATGTGAAGAATCCTTCCGGCTTCAATCTCCTATTTTTCATCAATATAATATATCTCAAATTTTAAGAGATAAAGATAGAAATTCGATTTATTAAATCTTAACATATTTATTTGGATTATAAATCTTACCATGTAAAAAAACTAATGTTATATAAATATGAATGGTACTACTTTATTCTATTTTACCATGTTAGTATATTTTTTTATTATGTATTAAATTGATTATTCTTTTATCACTTTTAAAATACGATCATGTGCATCGCACGGGAAAAAAATGCTAGTTTAAAATACAAAATATAAACAAAGTAATTTTTTGACACAATAAAATAGAAAATCGAGTAATCGTTGAACACAATCAAAATAGAAAATTGAGTAATTATTCAAAATAATAAAAATAGAAAAACGAGTAGTTGTTCAACGAATCAAAATCTTATATATAAAAGAAAGAAACGTTAGGGCAACCCTAAGAAACCCTAATGACATTTATGTAATTATTTATCTTTAATATTTTTTTTTAACTAATTTCCTACTTAAATTTTTCAACAATTATCAAAATTAACACTGAAATGTGAAGAATCCTTCCGACTTTAATCTCCTATTTTTCATCAATATAATATATCTCAAAATTTAAGAGATGAAGATAGAAATTCGATTTATTAAATCTTAACCTATTTATTTGGATTATAAATCTTACTACGTAAAAAAACTAATATTATATAAATATGAATGGTACTACTTTATTCTATTTTACCATGCTACTATATTTTTTTTTATTATGTATTAAATTGATTATTGTTTTATCACTTTTAAAATACGATCATGTGCATTGCATGTGAAAAAAAATGCTAGTTTAAAATACAAAATAGAAAACAGGGTAATTTTTTGACACAATAAAATAGAAAATCGAGTAATCGTTCAACACAATCAAAATAGAGTTATCGTTCAACACAATCAAAATAGAAAATCGAGTAATCGTTCAAAATAATAAAAATAGAAAAACAAGTAATTGTTCAACCAATCAAAATAGAAAAACGAGTAAACAAAAAACAACACAGATCATATTAAAAACACCAAATATTGTACAAAAAATAAATAAATAAACAATAAGTTAGAAAATAGTAATAGGCCCGACTCCGACTGCAGTAGCTTCTTCCCTCGCTCTCTTCGCTTCCTTTCTTGTCGTAATTTTCCTTCTACGATCGGATGCAAGAACTCCCTGATCTCCAATACGATCCGGATCATCCGGATTGTTCGACTTCAGACCCAAAGCTTTCATTAAACTCTTCCCTCTACCTCCAGCCATCTACAATTTAACAGAAAAACTGAATTAGTATTTAATTTAAGAAAAAACTAAAAAAATAATTAAATAAAAAATAAAAAAAATTAAAGTTGCTCGTGTGAAAACACGTGAGCAGATCAATTTTACTCGTGTGCAGGCACACGGGGGAAATAGATCTGCTCGCGTGTTTTCACACGAGCAGCAAAAAAAATGGATCTCGTGTGATTTTAGGCGAGCTCGATGAACTGAGCTCGCGTGGTTTGACACGAGCACAAACCACATATTTGCATAATAACACACGACCTCAATTTGTTTTTAATATTTTATAATAAAAAATATACGTATTTAAAAAAAAATTACATTCTTCTACTCGCGTGGTTCTACACGAGTAACTCCACTGTACTCGTGTAGAATCACGCGAGTAATACCAAATGCTTCGTTTTAAAAAAACAATTCAATAATCGTAATCTACGTAACGAAAAAATAAAAAATAAATGTAAGAATTACCTCCGATGTGTTACCGTCTCGGTCGGGATCTGAAATCGAAGTCCAAAAGCTTGAGAGAGTTTGTGAGGATATTTACCTTTTGATTTTTGAAGAATGGTAAAAAAAAATGCATGCACGATTAAATGGCGCCTGCACAAATCATTTAAGTTTGTAGAATCAATATTCATCTCTTAAAGGCCAAGTATCTTAGTGGCCATGTATATACGACTCCATCATTTTTAGGATCGGCAATTGAATCGGGCCTAACCGAAGCCCGATGGCTCGGCCCGGTTATATTTGAGGCGAGCCTACTTTTTAGTGAGTCAGGACAAGTTTGAGCTATTTTACTAAACTCGATTTATTTATGAGCCGAGTTTGAGTCAACTATGGTTCAACCCGAATAAGTCCCCAACTAAGCATCTTTATTATTCTAGGTTTAGGGGCTATATCTCTTTCACCAATAAACCCAACCCTTTAATATTTATTATAAATAAAAGAATCATTCATGTATATGTCAATATTACCCTCAACCCTTTATACCCAATTCTTAATTGTAACCCCAATTTAATCAATTTTGTCCACAAAAATCCAATTTTGTCCACAAAATCCGATTTTGACCAGTAAAATCCAATTTTGACTTTTCTTTTTCAAAATCTTTTTTTTTTCAAATTTGTTTTTTTTTGCCGCTGGATTCTGGCGTTGACTTTTCGATATTTTTTTTTCTTCCGGATTTTTTCGCCGGTTTCCGGCGTTGACTTTTTTTTTTCCTTTCTTTCTTTCTTTTCTTCCTGATTTTTTCACAAGTTTCCGACTTTGACCGGCGGTCTCCGGCGTTGACTTTTTTTAGTGTATTTTTAAGTAGCTTTTTTTTTTTTGTTTTTTTTACGTCCGCCGCTAAACGTTGACCGTATATGTGCTGTCAGTAACAATAAATTAACGTAATTATACTGTCAATGACAGTTAATTAACATAATTGTACTGCCGTTCAATACATTTATTTAATTGTTCTGCCGTTGAAAGTAAATTAACGTAATATTATTATTTTTTATTTTTTGTCATTCTTTTTATTTTATTTTTTTGATTTGTTGACAAGTCAACGTAATTATATTACTGTCGTTGACAGTAAAATAATTGTAAACACAATAATATTACTGTCAACAACGTCAATAATATTTTTTTTTGGGGTTTTTTGTTTTGTTTGAGTAATTCACGGAGTAACGTAATAATATTACTGTCTATTATTGTAATATTACTTCAAACACAATAATACTATTGTGGTTGACGGTAATGTTACTGTTGTTATAGTAATATTGTTGTCAACCACATCAATATTATTATTTTGTTTGGATTTTTTTGTTTGTTTGAGTTATCCACGGAGTAACGTAATAAATTACAGTCTATTATTCTAATATTACTGTGGTTGACGGTAATATTACTGTTGTTA